AAAAATATTTATGGAAACCAGAAAATCATGAAGTCATGAGGAACATTGAACTAAATATCTTAAGAGTTCTTATTTGTTTTAGTTGTTATTTTATTTTTATCATCTAAAGATTTTTGCAGGCCTACAGTTTGGAGCAGTGGATTAAAAAAACAAATCTAATAAATTTTATATTTTGCTCCAACTTATTTTCTTTGCGATTCCATCTTGTTTTAATCATGTTTAATGTGCTCTGGAGTTTGATCTGGTTGCTGAAGGACTTTCACAGCATGTTGATGTTAGCATGTGAAGATCCACAACTGCAATCGCACCACACAGGAAAAAGAACGGAGAGAAGATCAGGTTTGTCAAATAAAATATAGTAACGACATATCGGTACAGTATGTACCAATTAAAGCATAATTCTTATATATTTCTAAAAACTAAGTGTGTTTAGTTAAATGATTGATGCAGACTACTGGTACTTCAACATACCAAGAAGCAGATTTCTCATTTACATCAAAATATTTATTTTATAATGAGAGGCTTAAAAGTTTAATCAAATCCAGGAAAAAAAGCTTTCATGAGCTTCTTACCGCAGACATGGTTGAAGAGATGCTGAGTTTGGAAGTAAAGAACAAGCATAGTTCATCCAAACCATGGATGATCCTAGTTATCTCTGTTACAAAAATCCACAACTAGAAGAAAATATTTGAACGGAAACTGCTCATATGCTGGATGCTGATGGGGATTATTTTTAATTTGTCATATTATATCAAGTGTTAATTTCCGCATGTTTACTCCTATGAATTTAATAATAATATAGCACACTCTCTCCGCTAGCTAACATGCAGAGGATGAGATCCACATATGCAGAAGATGAGATCCACACATGCAGAGGATGAGATCCACACATGAAGAGGATAAGATCTACAGATGCAGAGGACAAGATCCGCACATGCAGAGAATGAGATCCACAAAAGCAGAGGATGAGATCCACATGCAGAGGATGAGATCCACACATGTAGAAGATGAGATCCAAACATCCAGAGGATGAGATCCACACATGCAGAAGATGAGATCCACACAAGTAGAGGATGAGATCCACACACACAGAAGATGAGTTCCACACACGAAGGAGGATGAGATCCACACATGCAGAAGATGAGATCCACACACGCAGAAGATGAGATCCACACACGCAGAAGATGAGATCCACACACGCAGAGGATGAGATCCACACATGCAGAAGATGAGATCCACACAAGTAGAGGATGAGATCCACAAACACAGAAGATGAGTTACACACGAAGGAGGATGAGATCCACACATGCAGAGGATGATATCCACACATGCAGAAGATGAGATCCACACACGCAGAGGATGAGATCCACACATGCAGAGGATGATATCCACACATGCAGAAGATGAGATCAACACACGCAAAGGATGAGATCCACACATGCAGAAGATGAGATCGACACATGCAGAGGATGAGATCCACACATGCAGAAGATGAGATCCACACACGCAGAGGATGAGATATACAGATGCAGAGGATAAGATCCACACATGCAGAGGATGAGATCCACACATGCACAAGATGAGATCCACACACGCAGAGGATGAGATCCACACATCCAGAGGATAAGATCCACACACGCAGAGGATGAGATCCACACACGCAGAGGATGAGATCGACACATGCAGAAGATGAGATCCACACATCCAGAGGATGAGATCCACACATGCAGAAGATGAGATCCACACAAGCAGAGGATGAGATCTACACATGCAGAGCTATAGAAATAAACTGAATAGAAATAGAAACACAACTCAATGTTCCTCTGCATTTTGCACATATTTATTTTTACACATAACTACCATATTAATGTATTTTTGCACCATTTCTTTCCTACACTGTTTACATTGTGATCTTGTGCAGATTATTTCAATCTGAAAAACTCCCACAGAAAGAAAAAGACAATTAGAAGAAATTTATTGATACAATTACTTTAGTCTTTGGCGCTCAGACCTTGACAGTAAACATTAGCGCTGAATTTTTGCTTTGATATGTTTTAACAGGAGTAGAGAACAGCTCTGTTTGCCCCCCAGGCCTGAAACTGGTGGTGGAGTGCAGATAGATGAAGTTGGTCAGTCTGTAGACTGCTGGTTGGAGAGGCGGTCTGCTGAGCTTTATGGGGAGATCCAGTGGACTGTGAGAGCTGAAACTAGAGCCTCACTCAGGGACCTGAAAGATGGAAGTCCAGTTGGAGAAAACAGGTTGAGAGAACCTGTCCATGATGAGCAAGCATGAAGCGACAGTGGTGAGGGAAAAACTCCCCGTTGGGAAGAAACCTCTGGCAGAACCAGGCCCCACATGGCGGTCTTCTGCCAGACCGGTTGAGATGGGACGCGGTAAGAGTCCGGGAGGAATGATGCTCTGATGAAGCTTTAGCTACGATGGTGGAGGAGGGGCTGGAGGGGGGGGGGGGGGGGGGGACAGGGTCATCTGATTCCAAGTCAGACATAGAGCAACCACTGCCTGCGCTTTAGGTAGCAGATGGAGATGTGGAATGGAGAACCGTTTAAAGGGGTCATAGAATGCAAAACCGAGTTTTCGAGTTTTGAAATCCCCCACCAACATTTTTTAGGTCTGAAAAGTAGGATATGTCTGGGAAAAAGAGGACGTCTGGTCACCCTACCATATAAACAATTTGATGTTTCAGTGAGTGAGAGCTTGTTGCTATGATGCATCTTTGCTCAGCAGCTTGGCTCGTTGTAAACCAACCAATCAGAGCACAGCTCATCTAAATATTCACTATCATCCATCGAAGGAAGAAAATCTGTCGTTTCATTCTAGAGCTTTTAACCAGGCTGCATTAGGGCTCATATAACAGCAAATATGCCATTTTCAGCCCAACCAATGTTACACACCCTATTCAGAGACCTGAAGGAGCAGATACCCTATACAATCATTCCATCACCCCTTTAAGATGAACTCTGGATGCTGGAGGTGTGGCTCAAAACTGATTGGCCTTTGACGGAAGAGGATGATAGTAAGAATTTCTTCAGTTGAACTTCCATCTAGGCTCCATGAATGCAAATGTTCCGCATGCAGCGAGGCTAACCACATGCAGCGAGGCTAACTTCATGCAGCAAGGCTAACCGCATGCAGCGAGGCTAACCAAATGCAGCGAGGCTAACCTCTTGCAGCGAGGCTAACTTAATGCAGCGAGGCTAACCACATGCAGCGAAGCTAAGCGCATGCAGCGAGGCTAACTGCAGCGAGGCTAACTGCATGCAGCGAGGCTAACTGCAGCGAGGCTAACAGCATGCAGCGAGGCTAACTGCAGCGTGGCTAACTTCATGTAGCGAGGCTAACTGCAGCGAGGCTAACAACATGCAGCGAGGCTAACAACATGCAGCGAGGCTAACTGCAGCGAGGCTAACTTCATGCAGCAAGGCTAACTTCATGCAGCAAGGCTAACCGCATGCAGCGAGGCTAACCAAATGCAGCGAGGCTAACCTCTTGCAGCTAGGCTAACCTCTTGCAGCGAGGCTAACTTAATGCAGCGAGGCTAACCACATGCAGCGAAGCTAAGCGCATGCAGCGAGGCTAACTGCAGCGAGGCTAACTGCATGCAGCGAGGCTAACTGCAGCGAGGCTAACAGCATGCAGCGAGGCTAACTGCAGCGAGGCTAACTTCATGTAGCGAGGCTAACTGCAGCGAGGCTAACAACATGCAGCGAGGCTAACTTCATGTAGCGAGGCTAACGCTGTATCCTGCTTTCCCCCTCCTCCTTTTTCAAAGGTCACAACCTGAGCCAGCATGGATAATAACAGCTAGGACTGATTTAAAGCAATTTTTAGAAAGGCAAAGAAGAATGAACAATCTGGGATTCACATGGAAAATAATAGAATATAGTCGACTTTTTCTAGATGTTTGTTCATTTGCATAGTTGCTCTTAAATAAACACATTCTCAGAAATTTTTTTTATATATTAAAAATTATAAATCTGATTAATAGCTTCTCAATTATTAAACTGATATATAATTCTTTAGGATTGTGACTCAATTTTGGACCATGCAAAACACAGATTTACCTTCACAGCCTCAGAAGGGAAAGATTCATGGACAAAAGGTAAACCTGGACATGAAATAATGTTTAGTTTTTTTACAAAGTGTTTTATAATGTTTGGTTCTTGTTGGCATTCATATAAATATACTGGTGTGATAATTTAGTATACTTTTCATTGGTTTTACGTCTTTTTAATTTATAGCGCCCCCTTGAGAAAACTCCACCAGCCACCGCTGGGTTTAGGAGGATTAAGGAAAAGTTTTCTTTTTTACTTCCTTTTATAAACTAGAAGGAAAAGAAGGATGACAGGAAGAGGAAGGCAGGTGATGAGGAGAGGAGCACAGACTTAAGAGAAGAAGTAAATGTGCAAAGTTTGTTAGTGAAGAAAATAAATATTTGCTCTTTTCAAAAAGAAAATCCTCTAGGCTTTAATGCGGATGTTGGGATGGTTCAATTTCCTGTTGATGCACTGTGGTCTGTCCCAGTTAGTAGGGCTTACTGGTCCCCATTCCCCTGTATAACCCCCCCCCCCCCCCCCCATGCATTAATGGAGGTAATGAGCTGGAGAGTGCTTAATAACAACAAATAAACTTGAGTAATTATGTTTTTTTTTCCTAAATGTTGCATGTCATTTAGATCCACGTTCATCTTCATGAAGGTTAAAGAAATCTGTTTATCGAGCTGATAAACATCAAAGTCTTTAAGAAAAAAAAAAATTCATTTAAATGTAGGATTTTAATGAATCTTTTAATTTGTAAAAAACTAAAGCAAGCTGACAAAATGTTTAGATATTTAGATGCGACCAACTAACCGCTGCTCCAAACTCTGTTTTCTGAAGGAGAAACTTGTGACAAAGTGAAAGTGAACAAGTGATGCCTAAAAAAAACCTTTTAGATGAGAATGCATCTAAACGCTTCCTGATGACACACAGAGAGGACTTACGCAGGAGCAGCGTCCAAAGAGTGATGATCCACCAACTTTTCTGGAAGAAAATCCAACTGAAAAGACGCCATGGTAGCAGGCTCCTGGTCTTCCGTCACCCTAGGTGTAAAAACGTAACCCTGCTTCTCGTCTCTATAGGGACTCCAAGGCTTCAGCTCAGTGATGCCGATTGAATATATCGACTTTAAATATCCACCAACTGGAGTTTAATGCACCAGATATAAGAAACCCTGAAAAAGAAAAGCATATCCTCAAACTGTGGCTGTTGGGAAAAACCCCAGATGAACACTGAGGGCTGCTGGGAAAGCTGGGTAAGCGAGAGCGATGGGCTCCGGGGCCTCCACAGCTAAACTGCTGATCATCCATATTCTTTGTGTCCGTTTCTCTCAGGCTAGCAGATTTGTCTGCAGCGTCAGATAAACAGAATGTCAGACTGATGGCGATAAGGCCGGCTGGGCACACAGTGAATAGAGGAGCCATGTTGCCCTCTGGTCAGATCCTAATCCTTGGAAAAGGCCTGATGTGCCCCGTAGAGCGCCATTCTTCTCTTTCCTTTGTTATTCCACTAAATTAATTTTTTTTAAATGCACAGCTGTGCCAGTTGTGCCTTTCAACTTCGGTTGCTGCACATAGACGTCTATGCCTGGTGTCTGTCAATCAGTGAAGGAACCTGAGAAACGTACCTCTGTTCTCAGGTAGGAGTAATGCTGCTTCAAAATATCATTACTGCAGAGGAGCTAAAAAGCACATCAAAACTTTAAAATGACTTGTTTTATAAAAGCAAAGGTGAATCAGTAAATGTTCCTGGGTAGTATCCTCCTCTAAATCCACCCAACATTTCACAAAAAGGGTCAACAAGAAAACAGGAACTGAGATCTAATTTGTCTGCAACATAAACACCAAGTCAATTCCATCTAAGTGCAAACCTACCTGATTCTGTGCTGAGAATTCTTTAAACTGAAGACTGTAACTCAGATATAATAATATAAACAGATTTAAAATACCCAAAGAACAGCAGATTTTTCATTATTACCTCATCCAAAGCACTTAACTTATCCTGATCTATCTCTATAGTTCTGCTGCTATAGGCTTAGACTGTTGGAGGACATAGGGACCCCTTTTTCATCATTCTGCTTCATTCTATCTCTATTCTCCCACTCTGCAGAATCTATTAGTTCAATCTCTAACGTTCTGCTCTCTCTGCTTTTTCTCATAGTAGCTTCATCTGGTCTGTTCCTGTTTGGCTGTTACTCCATCCTGGAGAGAAATATCAGCTGTGCTGCTGCCATCAACACCTTTGTTTCTAGATGTTGGAGCTTGGCCTGTTTTCCAGTGTAGTCCTGTTTCTCTGACTGTGACTAACTGGATGTGCTCTCTTCATCCTCTGACATGGGAGCTGGCTCGGAGCTCGTCTGCCTGGCTGTGTGTTTCCTGGACGGGGCCGCCTGTGGAGCTGGTTGACAGTTGCCTTTTGTATCTATGCTTCTTTTTCTATGTCTGCTTCTGTCTCCTTGAACCCCAGTCGGCCTCAGCAGATGGCCGCTCACACTGAGCCTGGTTCTGCTGGAGGTTTCTTCCTGTTTAAAGGGAGTTTTTCCTCTCCACTGTCGCTACAAGCATGCTCAGTGTGAGGGATTGCTGAAGAGTCAATGATTCAATGCAATCAGCTGGTTTTCCTTAGATAAAAAACTTTGAATCAATCTGACTGGATGATCTGGTTTAATTGTCTCTGTAAAGTGACCTGATGTGAATTGGAGCTGTAGAAATAAATTGAATAGAATCAAATGTGTGAATTCGTATCCAACATCTTCTGCTTTCGAAGAAATGTTTTCTCAAAAGAAAAAAAAAAATCTTTCAACACTTTGTTCCTCATTGCTTTGGGTTTGAAGATCAAACAGGAGGCGGAGCTTTCAGGGAACAGGATGGAGAAGCTTTTATCAGGGAAGCTGGTTTTTCTGCTGTTGGTCAGTTTTCCCAAACCAGCTTCTAATAAAGCTCAGAACAGTCAACACTAAAGTACGATATCCAGGATTGATGGCTCCTCTGTTCCTCTCAGAATCCGTTGCTCGTTGGTCTCCTGCTCAGGTAGTGAAATCGGCAGAGATAGGTCAGTATCGTCCGGTCTGTCGGGGACGTCCGGTCTGTCGGTATCGACACGTCCGGTCTGTCGGTATGGTCCGGTCTGTCGGTGACGTCCGGTCTGTCGGTATGGTCCGGTCTGTCGGTGACGTCCGGTCTGTCTGGGACGTCCGGTCTGTCGGTATCGTCGGGTCTGTCGGTATCGTCGGGTCTGTCGGTATCGTCGGGTCTGTCAGCATCGTCCGGTCTGTCTGGAACGTCTGGTCTGTCGGTATCGTCGGGTCTGTCGGTATCGTCGGGTCTGTCAGCATCGTCCGGTCTGTCTGGAACGTCTGGTCTGTCGGTATCGACCGGTCTGTTGCTATCGTCCGGTCTGTCAGCATCGTCGGGTCTGTCTGGAACGTCTGGTCTGTCGGTATCGTCCGGTCTGTCAGCATCGTCGGGTCTGTCTGGAACGACCGGTCTGTTGGTATCGTCCGGTCTGTCAGTATCGTCGGGTCTGTCAGCATCGTCGGGTCTGTCAGCATCGTCGGGTCTGTCTGGTATGTCGGTATCGACCGGTCTGTTGGTATCGTCTGGTCTGTCGGTATCGTCCGGTCTGTCGGTATCGTCCGGTCTGTCGGGGACGTCTGGTCTGTGCAGTTTTTTAAGCTTTACTCTGGTTTCATGGTCGGCCTATATTCATGTCAGGACTAATTTCTATTAACAAAGGTCAAAAAAACTTTGAGACTTTCAAAACTACTCATTTAATTTAAAAATATTATCATACAATAAGTCAGTGTTTCCATGGATGTGTTCAAACGGCCACATTTGGCATAATGTCCATCTCCTGAGGAACATTTCCTCTTATTACCAACCTGAAAACGGGAATTTAACAGGGTGATGAAGCTTTTATTGGTGTTAATGACCCGTCCAAACCTTCTTCTGAGCTGAATCTGTTCTACTGACAAACTGTCCCTCAGCACCTTTACTGGAGCCGCTCTTCCTGCTTGTCTGATTCAAGTAGCCATTATGGAAATCAGCTGCTGTCAGTCTTTTGTTCAGAACCACCGTCCTGAATGCCACCCATCCATCCTGGAAAATAAAGGAGAGAAAAGCAACAGGTGAGACATTGACAGCTGATAAAGACAAAGGAGGACATTGAAGGAATAGAAGCAGCAGTGTGGTGCAGAACAGCCGAGCCCCACATTAGCATCAGCCAGACTCCGACTGGTGATCTGTGATATTTGTCCGGTGGGCGGGTCCTAATGTCAGCGTGTGAGGGCCGGCCCTCATAGCGGCCCCATCACTTCCTCTCCGGCTAAAGCTCCTACCTGTGACAGTAAATAACCGAGGGAGCTCCAGAAGTAATCCAATGCTAACTACCTAAATGATGCATGCAGTATATATAGCCCTTCCTTCCTGCTCATCCTGGTGACGGTTGGCATATGGTGTCATTTTCTATTTCTTCAAACTGGCAACAAAACTAAATTAGAATAAAACTAAAATGCTTTCTTTAAACCAAACTACGATGTTGCTCCTATATCTGGCAAATGCATGATGGTGTTTTGCATCTAAAGGCTAACGTTTCCCGTCTATCGTCCATTGTTGCCAGGTTGGGATGTTTCCCAATCTGGCAGTTTAGGATGGCCGTCTGTGGGTAAAAAATGGTTTTCTGCAGATTAATGGCTTTAGAGATCAATAGACTTTGGTTCGAATTGGGCGAGCTTTCGTATATACTGGCGATTTATCAACATGTTTTGGGCTGGAAAACGTGAGTCAGTGACATCTGGCGACCCTGCTGATGTGGTGAGCGTGGACGTTACGCATCATCAGCAGTGACTGTGGCGTCCATGTTAATAACCATATAAAGGTCTGACATCAAAATGACATCTAAACCAGGATGGTTTCCATCCCAGAGTAAAACCCGTTAAACCCGCCCACCTTCAGCCACCAACAGATCAAAACTCAACCGTTTTTCTAACTAATGTTAAATTCTGCCTTTTCCTCTGACATCATTTTTCTTTTTCTAAGTTGTTCTCAGTCGTTTATAAATGGGAAACATTTTGAATTGAAAAATCTTCCTGGATGGGAAGCGAAACCAAGTCCACTGGATTGTTTATAATCATTTGACCTGGATGACAGAGAATCTTCACCAGCGTCACTCCGGTTTGACAGATTCTGAATATTTCTATCAAATTAACTACGAGCCAAAACGCTTTTTTTTTAAGTGTATTTTATCTTATCATCTTATTTTAAGAGTAAAATAATAATTCCATTGGAAGATCATCTTATTTACCAGCTTAAATTAAGGCTAAATACACTAAATTTAAGACATTTTGACTTATTTCTAGCTGTTTTTTGCAGTGCAGCTCTATGTTGTCTAGGTTCAGCTGGGTGTAAACTGCCCCCATCTGGCAGCACTGCATCCATCAACTTCCAACCCTTTCCCACATTTCTGCTGGATCTCTGCTAACTGGTGGCGATGATCAACATCCAAAGGTTTGGAAGTGACTGAAGCGAGGAGGAGATCCGATCCTGTGAAACGTGATGATTAGAGGACGGATGTGAGGTAGACCTACCTTACAGCGGACAGCCAGGCAGCTGGAGGCCTTATCATAGCAGACTGAGCCGGGCTGCTGGTTCCTCTGAGCTGCAGACACCAGAGAACAACATCTGGAATGAGTCTTTATCTGTAGAAATGTTCTGTCAGCTCCTGTTCATCCTGTGACTCTGCAGGATGGAGCAGATTTTATTGACGGAAAGCTTCAGCTGCTTAAACGCCGTCAGAAAGAATTTATATATTTTAACTTTCATGATTAGAGCGCTTTTTCTCTAATTAACAAGATGATCTACCAACAGAATGAGGATTTTTACTATTAAAATCAGATAATCACATAAAATACACTTAAAATAAGACATTACAGTTTTTTTTCTAATTTTAAAAGTAAATTGTCTCATTCCATTGGCAAACACAGAATGCACTCATTTTGCAACGCCATGAAAATTCAGAACTTCATGAAAAAAATTTAAAAATATTATTAGATTAGAAGAAAAATCCTGAAGGATATTTTAGTGTAATTGAACCAGTGGAGGAAGGTCTTTGCAGTGTTGTGCCTGAATGCGTTCATTGAACGAAAGTTCATGAACTCGTTCATATTTTGGGCGAACGTGAACTGAACGTACTGTATTACTGCCTGATGAACGTTATTGTGAACTCGTTCATTCTGGTGTCTGTGAACGGCACGCTCTCTCAGTTCAACTCCGTTCAATAGGTTGCCAGATTTCTATAGAGCCCTCCAGGCGAAACCCTGGCTAAATCACACCGTAAACAGGCCTTAATATGTAGCGGGAAAAACACCCAATCTGGCAACACCAGCTACCAGTGTTGTAGCCTACAGCCGCGTGCGTCATCAAAACAAAATGCAGCGTGGAAGCCACAGCAGCACGGAGGCGACAAAGCAGCAGTATGATCACTTAAAACAGTTTTATGACCAGGTGGTCGGTGAGGATGATGGCAACAATCTTACATTTCTCTGCAAACTTTGCCCGCTGGCTTTCAGTAAAAAAATCCGCACTTAAACCTGCCTGGAATAATTTTCCAGGATTCCTTTTTAGAATGTACTGAAATGAAATTTCAAATTAAAATAATTATTAAAATTAAAAAAACATTTTCACCTTAAAGACTACTTTCCTGTTTTTCTTTTAATAATTCCTCATAAAAAAGACCATTCAAGCATCACATTTTTCCTGATGTTTTTGAGAATATACTGTAGGGGTGAAAGCTGCAGCTGCTACTAGTGTGAAGTGAATGGACAGCAACAAAGCGTTAAAGCAACAATGGGGAAATGCTGTCCCCTCTATGCTAATGTAAACCCTGGTTGGATAAGGATTCAAAACTGGATATGAAGATGAAATCTGACGCACAGTTTCAGAGTTACAACTGATAAAATAATTGCTGTCTGTGGCTCTGAATTATGAACTATGAACTGAACTAGTTCATTTTAAAAAGTGTGAACTGAACTTTGAACTAGTTCACATAGAAAGAGAACTTTCCCAACACTGGGTATGTGGATATAATAAAGGCATTAAAGAACGTTTTGCTTTCAGAAGAAAAAAAATCTTTAAATGAAACAAAAGCATTTTCCATACTTGGCAGGTGGTGCAGTGGGGCCATCAGCCCGGGTCAAAGGTCATGTTTTCACCTGATCTCAGAGGCAGGATTTCAGCCACCATTTTACATCCTAAACAGAATCATTTTCTAATTCTGATTTCTTTAATGAAATTATTTTATAGGAAAGTTTGTTTCCCTTTGATCATCATCCCAAATCAGTTTGATGCAGAAAGTTTCCCATTAACACGGAAACGTCCTTTCCTTCAGACACGCCTGAGTGGTACTGATCATTAAAGTGGCTCCTGCATGCTGCCTTAGGGCAAGTCTCTGATCACTTGCCTTACAAATGGAATCCCCCCCCCATCCCTCAGTGAGATCTAGAAGCACTAGATCTATATCCAGCCATTCAGCAAAGATCCTGCTACATGGCTGTACATCTGATTCTGGCGTTTGACCAATTAGATGAGCCCTTGAATGATGTATTACCTGCTGGAAATTAAGATGGAAAAAAAGTTAAGAAAAAAAAGGTAAAAAGCTGATAGAAAAGTTCAAAAGTAAAATTAAAAAGTTAAAAAGCATGGTTAACGATTCTATTTAGGTTTATAAACTAAAAACTGTCCGTATCAGCATTAATGCCTCTAAGGCTACGTTGGACCAAATAAATGTGTTTCTTTAGCTCTGAGTGTTTTAATGAATTTCTTATAGAAGCACTTTTAATATTTTTCTTAATATATTTGAGAAAGTTGTTGTTTCTTGTTTTTACATTGACATGAATTTTTACCATCCAAATCTCCATATTTATCTAATGTTCCAAAGGTACTAAGGTCTGCTCCTGGATTCCAGTAACACTGTTGGCTGGAAATGTTGATTTTTAAAGGCCCTATAAAGGATTAAAACAGGGGACTGGGCAGCCCTCTGCAGCCCCCTGGTGGCTGGTGGGGAGGAATGCAGTTAAACACACTGAGCATAGAGGGAGGGGGGACATGTTTGAAAACCACTGCTGTGAAATACTGGGTGGCTTTAAAATATTTAGTTCATTAAATAAAAACCAGGATTATTAAATGAAAATCATCGATACCTGCATTCTAAAATATTAAACAGCTAATTGGACTTAATGTAAAGAAGTGTTATTTTAAACCATCCGGGAGATTTTCTTCTTAAGCCGTTTTATTACATTTGCTTTGCAGGATCAATATAATAAACTTTAAATGATTAATTTCTTAGGGAACTTTATTTAATCGGAGCATTTCTCTGAGTAAAAAGCTGAATCTATGCAGGGATTTTCTGGAAGTTTCTTCAGTAACTTATTTTATAACCATTTATATGAATAAGAGCTTCCAGTCATTTACAGCCATGGCCAAAAGTATAGAGACACAGATATTCTATTTTCACCTGATCTGCTACCCTCTGGTTTTCATGTCAGATGTTGTCATCACATACAGAAATACAATTGCATCATATTCTGAGTAACAAAAGCTTTTAATGACAGTTAGAATGAGTTCATGCAGCGAGTCAGTATTTGCAGTGGTGACTCCTCTTCTTCAGGACCTCTGCAATTCTCCCTTGCTGCTCTCAATCAACTTCTGGACCAAATCCTGACTGATAGCGTCCATTCTGCACAAGCAATGCTTGCATTTTGTCAGAAGTGTGTATGACGTCATCCGCGTGCGCCGGCTACCATTCATTCATCCTGTCCGCTGAACTGCTGCTAGTTTTCCTCCCATGCCTGGAAGATGTCTAGTTCTGCTACCACAGATGATCTCGCTCTCCAAATGGAATTGAACGATTCAGATTAGCTAGAATGAATAGAAGGGGTAGAGCGTAGCCGCCTGTGGCCCGGGCTAACTGTCACTACTCCAGTCTGGATGATGTCATACAGGCGCCGCTTTGTTTGTAAAAGATATAAATATAAAAAATATAACTGTGGATGTCTGAGGGACAGTGATTGGCCTACATGTTATGAATGCTGGCGTACCATAAAGAATAAATGATGAACAGTTCAGTTTGTGCCTTCAAGTCGTTGCCCATAGGAAGACGTTACTTGGATATAACCTAACGGAATATCTTCAGAACGGCTCCAAATGACACTAAACTCATATGGGTGAGTAGAACATGATGGAATAACGGAAAATCAAGGAGCCAATGGAAAAAAAAGGTGTTCCCCTTTAAGTGATTTTTTAAAAGTAGATAACAACAACCGATCAGTTTGATTTATAGACAATTTCCTGATTCCCATTTTTTCTCAAACACCTGAACTGACCGTTTGTTATTTCCTTTCTTTTTTCTGTCTAAATGTTGGCAGTGGGCTTTAGGCTGCCCTGCGAGGCTTTAAACCTGGGTTTGAATGGAGACTAAGCCATTCTCAAGCACATTTCAAGGAGCTCATTTTGAGCCTGGATCCAGATTTATTGTTGATTCTGTTCATGGTGGAGAATCCTGCTTCACAGCAGCAGGTTGAGCCAAACATCCTCTAAATGTGCAGGGTCATCTTTGAGCACAACATTTCACTTTTCTTTCACCAGTTCACCGCAGTTCTTCCAGCAGTCCACACTTTCTCTGCTCTCTTTTTCTCATGGTCTTCTCCTTCTTTCCCATCGCCCGGCTTGCCACAGGTTTGCCTGCTGTGTCTAAAAGTAGCAGCAGCAGCAACCCAGACTGACAGCTCATTGGATCATTTGGATCACGTGCAGCCTGGAGCCGGACGCTCCACAGGGCTTTACCGTATTAACAGGAGAAGCGGCGCAAGTGAAATTAGACACTGTCGTCGGACAACATGCAGTAATTTATAAATGTTTTAAATCAGGTTGGGTCCAGATTAGCCAACAGGTGGGTCCGGATCCAGACCACTAATCTGGGACCTCTGCAGTGGCCCAACAAAGCCTTGTTTTGGTCCACTTTGGTTTTGGTTTAGTGAGCAGTTAGATCACATCAGAGCGTCACAGTGTGAGAACAAACATGGTGAGCTGTGATTTTTTTAAAACCCTGCACAGTTTAAGCCCAGCTTTAACCAGCCCTTTAAGCCCATCAGTGCTTACTTCTTTATTTCAATCATTCTGAAGCTTTAGAGCAGCCTGTTTATTCCAATAAAAGGTGCTCGGCTTGCAGCATTTCTGGCTGAAAGTGGATGTGCAGAGGGATCAACATCAGGCTGCTATTGACTGAGATTTATCCAGGAAAGGTTGTTTTTTTGTTCTTTGCAGACAGTTTAATAAATTAGAAATATCCTTTGCATCTTTTGTCCTCCGCTATAACTCCCAACCCCCTCTAAGAAAGGAGAGCAGTCACTGTCAAACAATCACACTGGAAGTTACCTGAAGAAGAGCATTTCCCAGCAAAGTCCAGAAGTTTGACCGTTTTCCCCATCCATGTCGTCCTCACAGGGATCTAAGGAGGAAAAGCATCATTAAAACATTGAAAAGACCAAAACACACGAACCCAACTGGATTCCGTTCTCACCCTGGATCCGATAGCGCGACACAAACAGGCAATCTGCTCACAGGTCTGTTCTTCCCAGTTGATCCAGCTCATGCTCTTATTCACTTTAGGAGCTGCAGAAAACAGGAGAAAAAGAGGTTTTAATGAAATATTCCAGTGAACGTTAGCCTGAGCTAACCTGCTGAAGATAATTCAATTCAATTTCAATTCAGTTTATTTATATAGCGCCAAATTCACAACACATGTCATCTCAAGGCACTTTACAGTTCAACCAGATCATACAGTCAAATTAATACAAAGTTTTCTATCTAAGGAAAACCAGTTGATTGCATTGACTCATTGACTCAAATACAATCCCCCACACTAAGCATGCTTGTAGCGACAGTGGAGAGGAAAAACTCCCTTTTAACAGGAAGAAACCTCCAGCAGAACCAGGCTCAGTGTGAGCGGCCATCTGCCGAGGCCGACTGGGGTTCAAGGAGACAGAAGCAGAGATACAAAAAGCAGCTGTAAAAGGCGGCCCCGTCCAGGAAACACACAGCCAGGCAGACGAGCTCCAAGGCAGCTCCCATGCCAGAGGACGAAGAGAGCACATCCACTCAGTCACGGTCAGAGAAACAGGACCACACTGGAAAACAGGCCGATCTCCAACATCTATAAACAAGGGTGTTGATAGAAGCAGCACAGCTGATGTTTCTTTCCAGGATGACGTCATCCTGGAAAGATAATGAAATATTCCAGTGAACGTTAGCCAGGGGCGTGCACACATAGACACTAGGTGGTGCTAAAGCACTAGGAAGTTTGCCCTCTATCAAAGAAAATGCCCTTTTGAAACTCGTTTTTTTTTTTTATTATTATTATTAATATTATTAAGATTTTACTGAGGTCGGTTTTGAAATGATCTTTTGAAAACCTGAGCCATTAAAAACGACTGAAACAATGCCCCGAAATGACCGACCTACTTGCGCACACCCGATCAGCCTCTCTCTCTTCCTTTGTCACGTGAACTCGCTCGGTCGCCCGCAGGGCATGCCAGATGCGCAGCATCATAGCAGTTTTCAGATAGCAGGAACGGTCGCTGACAGGCTGCTTCTCCCGTGCCCCATTAGCCAGGTAATATACAGATCAAGCAGAATCATTTTGTTGTGCATTAAAATGTCTCATTCAGCAGCACCAAACACGCATTTTGCCGACTGGTCACCAGATAAACTAGTTGTCTCCTTGTAAGATGCTATTTTACTTTTTATATTTTGTATCCATATTTTTTATCTTAAGTGTATACATTAGTCTATTTTATTGCATGATGTATACCCACAGTTTTTAGATATTTTTATAATTTTATTTACCTATTCCATATTATATGTTTCATGTTGCACGATTGTACCATAAAAAATTCCTAGTTTGTGAACTCCTTCACTAACAATGGCAATAAACCTGATTCTGATTCTGAAAGTTTTACACTGTAGCCCAAGTCAATGACAGATAACGTGAGGACGACCACATAGGCTACAAATAATTTTGGTAGAGTTTGCAATTGCAAATCTACGGAAGAGGATTAGGGCCACTGAAAAAAAAAAAAATAAGTTAACTGATTTTTAAATTTCAGTTTAGTATGGGAAAAAAGTCAGAATGCTGACTTTAATCTCATAATTCTAACTTTTTTCTCATAATTCTGACTTTTTGCTGAGAATTCTGACTTTTTGCTCAGTATTCTGACTTTGATCTCAGAATTCTGACAATAATTCCCATGTTAAACTGAAATAAAATTTAAAAATCAGTTAACTTTTTTTTTTTCAGTGGCCCTAATCCTCTTCTGTACAAATCTATGTGTTAAGACAAACGTTTTCTGTTGTATAGGTTTTGTTAGGCAACATAAATTAACACATTTTGGTCTCTTTATTGTCTTAATTGTATATTAATTTAGTAATTGCAGCACAATGCCAAGAAAGGAGGGTTAATCATATTGAAAAATCTTAAAAGCTGTTCACATTTTATTTTTAAGTGGTTTGTGCAGCAGGTATTAAAATAGCTATTATTTTGTAGGCTACCATAAGTCATATCCACGTGACAAGACTTCCAGTCATGTTGCCCTAATAGCCCATTATTTAAACTAATGTGGCATATTTGTTAAAGCTATTATTATTATTATTATCATTATTATTATTATTATTGTCATGATGGTTATTATTAATATATTGTAGCCAGTCACAGCAGGGAAGCTCTATACCATCAACATATAACAGGACAGGAGATGAGGAAGAGTTCAGGGAAGACACAGAGACAGAAAAAGACCAGGATGAGGGAGAGCAGATGGGTGAGGGAAAACAGGGAGATGAGCCAGATGAAAGAAGAAGAAAGATGAGCTTTAGTCTGTTCTGTTGGTGGTGTGACTTTTTTCCATTGAAAACTCACGTTTAGAGAATGTTACAAATAAAAGTCAAATTTCATTCAACATGCGTTTATTTTTTTTTATAATTAAGTGTTACACGTGCGCTAAAAAGTGCCCCCCCCCTCCTGAGCACCTGCCCCCCAAAATGTCTGTGCACGCCTCTGACGTTAGCCAGAGCTAACCTGCTGAAGATAATGAAATATTCCAGTGAACGTTAGCCAGAGCTAACCTGCTGAAGATAATGAAATATTCCAGTGAACGTTAGCCAGAGCTAACCTGCTGAAGATAATGAAATATTCCAGTGAACGTTAGCGCGAGCTAACCTGCTGAAGATAATCAAATATTCCAGTGAACGTTAGCACGAGCTAACCTGCTGAAGATAATCAAATATTCCAGTTAACGTTAGCCCGAGCTAACCTGCAGAAGATAATGAAATATTCCAGTGAACGTTAGCCAGAGCTAACCTGCTGAAGATAATGAAATATTCCAGTGAACGTTAGCCAGAGCTAACCTGCTGAAGATAATGAAATATTCCAGTGAACGTTAGCCAGAGCTAACCTGCTGAAGATAATCAAATATTCCAGTGAACGTTAGCCAGAGCTAACCTGCTGAAGATAATGAAATATTCCAGTGAACGTTAGCCTGAGCTAACCTGCTGAAGATAATGAAATATTCCAGTGAACGTTACTACGAGCTAACCTGCTGAAGATAATCAAATATTCCAGTGAACGTTAGCACGAGCTAACCTGCTGAAGATAATGAAATATTCCAGTGAACGTTAGCCAGAGCTAACCTGCTGAAGATAATCAAATATTCCAGTGAACGTTACTACGAGCTAACCTGCTGAAGATAATCAAATATTCCAGTGAACGTTAGCACGAGCTAACCTGCTGAAGATAATGAAATATTCCAGTGAACGTTAGCCCGAGCTAACCTGCTGAAGATAATGAAATATTCCAGTGAACGTTAGCCTGTGATAACCTGCTGAAGATAATGAAATATTCCAGTGAACGTTAGCCAGAGCTAACCTGCTGAAGATAATGAAATATTCCAGTGAACGTTAGCCAGAGCTAACCTGCTGAAGATAATGAAATATTCCAGTGAACGTTAGCCTGAGCTAACCTGCTGAAGATAATGAAATATTCCAGTGAACGTTAGCCAGAGCTAACCTGCTGAAGATAATGAAATATTCCAGTGAACGTTAGCCAGAGCTAAGCCGCTGAAGATAAGGAAATATTCCAGTGAACGTCAGCCTGAGCTAACCTGCTGAAGATAATGAAATATTCCAGGGAACGTTATCCAGAGCTAACCTGCTGAAGATAATGAAATATTCCAGTGAACGTTACTACGAGCTAACCTGCTGAAGATAATGAAATATTCCAGGGAACGTTATCCAGAGCTAACCTGCTGAAGATAATGAAATATTCCAGTGAACGTTACTACGAGCTAACCTGCTGAAGATAATCAAATATTCCAGTGAACGTTAGCACGAGCTAACCTGCTGAAGATAATGAAATATTCTAGTGAACGTTAGCCCGAGCTAACCTGCTGAAGATAATGAAATATTCCAGTGAACGTTAGCCTGAGATAACCTGCTGAAGATAATGAAATATTCCAGTGAACGTTAGCCAGAGCTAACCTGCTGAAGATAATGAAATATTCCAGTGAACGTTAGCCAGAGCTAACCTGCTGAAGATAATGAAATATTCCAGTGAACGTTAGCCAGAGCTAACCTGCTGAAGATAATGAAATATTCCAGTGAACGTTAGCCAGAGCTAACCTGCTGAAGATAATGAAATATTCCAGTGAACGTTAGCCAGAGCTAACCTGCTGAAGATAATGAAATATTCCAGTGAACGTTAGCCTGAGCTAACCTGCTGAAGATAATGAAATATTCCAGTGAACGTTAGCCAGAGCTAACCTGCTGAAGATAATGAAATATTCCAGTGAACGTTAGCCAGAGCTAAGCCGCTGAAGATAAGGAAATATTCCAGTGAACGTTAGCCAGAGCTAACCTGCTGAAGATAAAGTTCAAACAAGACTTATTCTGACAGATTTATGGAACTAGTTTAACTTTTAGTTCGGCTCAAACAGTTGATCAGATTATTGATTATTCAAATACTCCTCAACTAATTCAATAATTGACTGACTGACAGAGCGACACACTGACAGCAGCAATTATACCAAGACTGTAAGAAAATATGAACATGAAGCGCAGCTTAAAGATAATCTGGAGACGCTGAAACTAAATACCTGCTGTAATCTGAGCTCCGGCACAGAAACCGACCCACTTACAGGTGCTGGTCATAAAATTAGAATATCATGAAAAAGTAGATTGATTTCAGTAATTCCATTTAAAAAGTGAAACTTGTATATTATATTCATACATTACATACAAACTCATATATTTCAGATGTTTATTTTGTTTAATTTTGATGATTACAAATGACAACAAATGAAAATCTCAAATTCATCATATCAGAAAATTAGAATATTACTGAAGACCAATAAAAACAAAGGATTTATAGAAATGTTGGCCAACTGAAAAGTATGAACATGAAAAGTATGAGCATGTACAGCACTCAGTATTTAGTTGGGCCTCCTTTGGCCTGTATTACTGCAGCAATGCGGCGTGGCATGGAGTCGATCAGTCTGTGGCACTGCTCAGAATATAAAACTAGATTGAAGCAGCAGATTATGGTTTTTTTCCACTAGTTTAATGCGCTATAGACTGTTCTTCTATACGGACTCTAAAGGGGCCAAAGTTAAGCTTTCAGCTACGCTTTCCTAACTGAGTTATTGTTCTTTTTGAAGCTTAAAGCCAGTTAAATCTCCGAAACTAAATACTTTAATTCCTCTTAATATCTGGAAGTTGGTCTGAATTGTCCTTTTATTCTAAAATCAAACAGGAAATGAAATGTTTGTATTATTGAAATGCAGACCCACGTACCAAACGTTACACCCGCCGTCCCTTGCTCTCGTTTATTAGCAATTCTTTCAGGAAGCTTCCGTAACGTAACAACCAACTGGAAAACAGAGCAGCTTTGTTAATTGTTTGTAAAACGAGAAGCAACGATTCCACCAATATCCCAACTTACAAGATGAGCTCCTCTGGTGGCCAGAGCAGCACCCAGATCTTCAGCACTGCAGAGATTAGGAACCGGATGGAGCTCCTGGTTTAGGATGGGGCCAACGTCAAACCTACAAGATAAAGCCAGGTAGGTCAGATATCCCACCAAACCAGCAGGAATGGTGTTTGCACTAAATGTGTTCATGTGGAGTCGCCCTGTTTATTGGTTCTAGAGGAAAATGTTTTAATGAGGATTTAAAGGAAATGTATCTTCATTTCAAAGGCTCATAACCTAAAAACAGACAGCTGAGTATCATCCAGCTAGAACATTCTCCGTTCCTCTGGGTGTTTGGTTAGGACTTCTTTCCTTCCAGAATAGAATTTAAAATCCTCCTTTTCACATATAAAGCCTTAAATGGCCAAGCTCCATCTGATATCAGAGATCTGATTGTTCCTTATGTTCCTAACAGAGCACTTCGCTCTCAATCTGCAGGTTTGCTAGTGGTTCCTAGAATTTCTAAAAATAGAATGGGAGGCAGATCTTTTAGTTATCAGGCTCCTCTCCTGTGGAACCAACTACCAGTTTTAGTCCGTGAGGCAGACACCCTGTCTACTTTTAAGCTAGGCTTAAAACTTTCCTTTTTGATAAAGCTTATAGTTGGAGTGTCCCAGGTTATCCTGAGCTATCTCTATAGTTATGCTGCTATAGGCTTAGACTGCTGAAGGACATAGGGACCCCTTTTTCATCATTCTGCTTCATTCTATCTCTATTCTCCCACTCTGCAGAATCTGTTAGTTCAATCTCTACATTCTGCTAGAAAACTTTGAATCAATCTGACTGGATAATCTGGTGTAAAGTGACCTGAGATTACATGATGTGAATTGGAGCTATAGAAATAAACTGAATAGAATTCTCCTATAACAGTTTTTCCTGCATTTGTGTTTAACATTTACTGAGGAGAGACGTCTGGAAGAAGCTGCTGTTTTAGGGGATTAATGTTCAGATTTTTACAGGACGTCATCAGAGCTGCTGCTGTAGCTCCCAGTCTGTGACCAACCAGCAGTTGAAAGAAAAAATGCTGACTTGTTGGGAAGAATCTGGATGATGGTGACTCCAGTCAGCGAGTCGCCGTTCATGATGGTGTGGAAGACGGGGGCGGGACCTCTCCACCTCGGCAGCAGGCTGGGGTGAACGTTCAAGATCCCACTGAATAGAAAATGTTCAAAAAAAGAGAGGAAAGGTTTTTAAGGACTTTATTCATTCTACTGATAAAAAATAAAACTTATTGGACCAGCGAGTGTGATCTTTTAGACAAGCGAGCAGCGGCAGGTCTGTCTGCTGTAACTCAGGTGGTTTTACTTCTGACTGCCATCATGTTAGAGAGTTCCTCAGTCAGCCACTCTGGTTTTCATCCTTATTATCAGAAACATCCAATAAATAGTGAAGTTCCATTTCTATGCTGATGACACCATGAGGTGTTTTGTGTCCCCCGCTGTCATTGTCTGCTTCCCTTTAAATGAAGGTCACCTCACAGACGGGATGACTAAAATACAATGTCTGCCATTTTTTATTAGAGAAAATGAATGGGGAAAAATCATTGATTAACCAGATTTGTGGGAAAAGATGAAAACTTAATCTATAAGATTAAAACAGGCTTTACACAGCAAAATGATCACAGATATCCAAACCAACACTCATCCCTCATTTCATATATTGATTTATGCTATTTTCTCCCTGAAAAAGTTTTTCACTCAGTCTGTTTCACCTGCAAGGCCACACAATGCCTGAGTGTTTGTAGACCAGACCTACTTTCTTCCCATAAAAAGCCAGGTTATTTCTAAAGGTTTATTCAGAACATCTTACTGTTTAATCAAAGTGTCTAATTTGTTTTATACTCTGACTGCTTTACATCATAGAACGATCAGAACAGGGCTGATTACCGTGCAATAAGGACCATATGATGAACTGTTCTCTCTTTGCAAAGATGAAATAAAGTGAGATGCAGTTGATGGGGAAATAAAGATGGTGATCAGCAACCGCATGAAAATGGTTTGTGGATTGATCGGCACACGGTAGGCGTCTACAATCTACGCCGTTCTAGCCGTTAACAACAAAATACAGTCAACCGCAAACTAGAAAGACTCACTAGGGAAACTTGTCGATTAGTTCGCCATGAAGTAGGCGGCCGAATGATACCACCACGCCAACATCAAACTGGCCCTCCACGTCATGGGGGGGCCAGCTGTGGAGAGGCAGCTGGTTTTCCTGAGCAAATCTCTTCACAGGTAGATCACCAGGTAAGGTCACGACCTCCAGCTTCTCCACCACGCCATCGCTGGAATTCCTGCAACATAAACAGAGAAGACTTTATGCACAGAATGAGACCAGGCTGATGTTTCAATCGATGCCATGAGTCCAGGAGACCAGATGGAGGAGATGATCCTTCAGGGCGCCATCATCTCAGACTAAACCTTGGCTCGTTAGTCGGCCATGTTGGCCACATATAGGAGCAGGACAAACTAAAAGAGCAGCAGGTTTGATCCTGCAGTTCAGCCTCAGCTCTGCTCTACAGGTGGGGGGCGGGTTATGCCAGGGGTCATGTGGGGTGGATTACCCACCTCTGGATTACAGACCACTGGATGATCCACCTCTGGATTACAGACCACTGGATGATCCACCTCTGGATTACAGACCTCTGGATTATCCACCTCTGGATTACAGACCTCTGGATTATCCACCTCTGGATTACAGACCTCTGGATTATCCACCTCTGGATTACAGACCTCTGGATTATCCACCTCTGGATTACAGACCTCTGGATTACAGACCTCTAGATGATCAACCTCTGGATGATCCACCTCTGGATTACAGACCTCTGGATTACAGACCTCTGGATTACAGACCTCTGGATTATCTACCTCTGGATGATCCACCTCTGGATTATCTACCTCTGGATTATCTACCTCTGGATGATCCACCTCTGGATGATCCACCTCTGGATTACAGACCTCTGGATGTTGTTTCCTCTTTAATATTATTCAGGAACAAGTGAAGGAAAGTCCATTGGGACTGGCTTGGTCCTGCTGGGGTTAAGGTGGGGTCTAATCCAGGCTTTTATTCTTATAATCCTGAAGCTGTAAAACTTTGGCAGATTCGATCTTTAGGAGGAAATGTGGATCATTTTAATTGTTTGACTTTCTCTCTTATTATGAAGAAATGACACCAGGTAGGAAGTCAGGTACCAAACGACCAGGGTCTAATTGACATGGCAATCCCGGTTACCTGCAAAGGGTCAGCAGCCTGAGAGACTCCACGGCGAACTGGTCGGTACCGAAGAACAGGAGCCTCCAGGGCGGCCCGGACGCTGCGGGGTTACGGGGACACTGCGTGCGGACGGTGGGTCCGCAGCGGAGCTTCAGAAAATGGCTGACGGCTTTCAGGAGAAGCCCTCCTGACTTCCGGTTGGTCCACATCCTGAAGCAGAGGCGGTGGTTTCTACATCAGTCCGATCAAAGCAGCAGCTCCTGCTCCATCGCTTCACTACTACTTCCTGCTTCTGCTTCTTCTTCTTCTTCTTCTTCTATTGAGTTTTCTGGCAGTTTGCATCCTGTGTGCATTACCGCCATCAACTGGACGGAGATGTAATTCAGAAATATAATGTCTATATATCTTTATATCTTCATGAAACTAAATTCTATCTATACTTACACACACGCACATACACACACTAAATTCTCCCAGCTAATTCTGTATCTTTTAAATATTTAATAAGTGCTTTAATTATCTTATCTGATTGATGCTTCCCTAATAAATCTGCCATCTTTACTGAACTCCCCATTACCCTTTCCAGTTCTTTCCTCTCTTTTATATATTTGCTACAATAGATCAACACATGTTCTACTCCTTCGATTTCTCCACAATAACAACAATTACCCGTTGGATGTTTCCCTATTATTTTTAGACCTGCATTTAAACTAGTATGCCCAATCCTTAACCTGTTTATCCATATTTCCTCTCTTCTACTCATTATACTGTTATATCCTATGCTAATATCTTTATGTATTTTATATAAATGTCTTCCTTTTTTTTCTAAATTCCATCTCTTCTGCCATACCTTATTTATTTTATCTTTAATAATTACTTTTATTTCTGTTCTACTTAGCGGGACATCATATTCAATTTCTCCTACTTTAACTACTTCTTTAGCTAACTTATCTACTTTTTCATTACCTAAGATTCCTTTGTGTGCTGGAACCCATGTGAATTGAATACTTATATTTTGTTGCCTTATACCATACATTAAATAACTGACTTCATCTAAAAGATCTTGACGGCTTTCAGATTTTCCACTTTTAAAACTAGTCAGGCAAGACATTGAATCTGAACAGATAACTAGGCTTCCCATAGATATCTATGGGCTTCCCTGCTTCTGCTTCTTCTGGGGTTTTATGGCAGCTGGTCAAATCATTAGCGCCCCCAGCTGGTGGGAGGCTGTTATGGCCAGACAGAAAACAACTGTTTTTAACAGGTTGTCATTTTATGAGATTACATTTATTAGAATAAAGTCTTAATTTTACCATAAAGAATGCATGACATTGCAAAAATCGTTATATTACGAGATTAAAGTCATAATAATGCGAGATTAATATATTACCAAATTAAAGTCAGTATTATTTAATAACTTTATGCTGTCATCCTAAAATGAGGGATGTAGAAAATATTTTGATCTTTTCGTGTTGATTTGATTTTACAGATAAGGAAACTTTAAACATTTCAGCCAATCAGCATCAAATTAGGATTTATTATGAAATGATGTTTACAAACAGAGCTCAGATTACCGCTAGATAATCTGGATGAGATGGTTAGTTATGAAACGACTGAAGATCGGACTTTATTCTATATCGACATTTATTGTCATACCAACTTTATTCTTGGATTATTAAGAGAAGTTGTCAATTTTTTGCTGTTTTGGTCCACCGAGGGAGGGAGGGAGACGGGGGATCTTTGAATGACGTTTACTCTGCAACAATCAAAGTCATAGTTTAGGTATGAACCTGTTGGTAGGATAACTGGGATCAATGGAAGCCACCAAAGCGAGAATTTATTTTCACAGCACAACTTGTTACACAAAATAATGAGTCACATTTACAGTTGAACGGCTCTAGAAGTCAGTGTACAACAAACTAAGCAACGATATACTGATAGTTACACACTCACATTATACACAATATCATCAAGACTTGCACAAAAAATGGACTAAAGAGAAAGTAAGATGACGTAGAAATCCCAATATTGGAAAAATTATTTTAGAGCTTTAGCAAAAGACTGCAATGTGTGCAGTTCCTTCAGGAACACGATCCCATCGTCACCTAAAGATTCCCTCACTGGTAACATGACACTGAATGGAAGAAAGGTTTTATCTGCTGGGATCAGTGTTGGTCTGATGCTGCAGTCACCTTATAAACATTTACTGAGCTCATAGGAAAGGTGATTCACTTAAAGGAACGTCTAATTTGTGGTCGATCGATTCTCACAGGATGTTTTAAAAGCTTTCCGATGAGTAAAGGACAGATCCTCCGATTCGCCGTCTGACTTCACACCGTCAGCAAACAGCAGCCGCTTGGAACTGGGAACTCCCACCAGCTGCTGTTTGCTTCATCCAGACAGGTACGTAAGGTCAGTCAGCAGCTGAGCTTTGATCCATGCAGACTGACGCTACGCCCCGCTTAGTTTCAAGGTGTCAGGTCAGCAGCCAGACCTGTTCTTATCCTAATTCTAATCCTAAACTGAGTCCTTGCTGTTTTTACAAATAGATTAGAATCTATCTTGTCCCATTCCAGGCGCTTTAGGCTGACCATAAACTGTACATTTGATTAGGCTGCAGGAATAAAGACGGGACACGGAGCCACGGTAAAAGCAGGAGCTGCCAAACCTGCAGCTCAATCAAAGTTTAAAAGCAGAGAGTTTGGTAGTTCCTCATGTGATCTACTGATATTTAACACTGTGATTAGCTAGAGCCGAGCCACAGTTTGATCCTGCGTCCAGATTTCTGTGTCTGAGCGTTTTTGACTCATAAAGCTTTTGGTTTGAAAGCAGCATTGATGTTGAAAGTTGTTATCGTATCATATGGTACCGTATGGTATGGTAGTGTATTGTATCGTATCGTATGGTAGCATGATGTGTGTTTGGATACTGGATAATGAACTATTGTTAAAAACGTGCCGCCATCATCATCATCATCATACAATAAACAGCAGAAACCTTTTAGGTGGTGATAAACAAATGATTCTGTTTCAGAGAAGATAAAACAAAAACATTTCAAGGTTTTATGAAACATTTACATAGTGAGTATTTTTAGTGTAGTTAAATGATTTCAGTAAATTAAGTCTTTTTTACAGGCGCTGCCACCTGCTGGCAAACAGGAGAAACTGCAATTAGCATAAAATTACTGATTTCTGTTCTAAGGAAGAAGATGCATGTTGCCGACTGTTTGAAATCTCCAGTTGTGTCTGATGAACCATCAGTTAAATCATCCAGTAGAAGATGAGAGGCTGCATCCATCTGTAGGTCAGACATCCATCATCTCCACACTGAGCAGAGCAGGAGCAACATGGGAGCATGACAATCAAACCGATCAGACATTCTTTCCTCTAAGTGCTGCTCATTCAGCTTCAGATAAAAATGAGGTGAAGCATGAAAACAAAATGCAAACATGAGTCCTTCTGTGATGCAAAGAGAAATGTGCAGAAGCAGCTTTTACTCGGAGAAGGGAGGAAACATGCCGAGGTCAGCAAAATCCTCAATGTTGTAGTTGGCCGTTCCCTGGGTGGGGTCTCCAGCCATGGGCAGCATGTCCTACAGAGATATTGGATGACAGATCAGAAACGTAAACTGAAAGGATTTAACAGGTAAAGTCCAGAGAGCGTTACCTGGAAGACCTCCGTCTGGCTGGGATTGGCGTGCGCGTGCTGTTCCCCAGACTGCTGGGAATGATGCTGGTTCTGCCACTGAGACCACACCTCACTGGGCCGACCCTGGAACTGGCCTCCGCTCTGACTTCCCTCTCCTGGAACATCTGCAAACAGCCAGTCAGTTACTGGCATGGACCAACCCTGTCCTGTTCTGATGCACCATGTGTAGAGATATCTGCAGAGAACCGGATCCACATCTCCGACAGCTTCTGTTTCTTCCAGCTGATCAAACAGCTGCTGGGGAAGGTTCTTCCCTCACATCCGGTTATCATTCCATGTCAGTGCGAGCCGTGGCTGCTTTAGCGCTCACTAGCCTAGCCTTGCATCATAGCGCTGCTATGACTGTCTCCGTCTGTCTCAGTGTAGCATCTGAAGGGATTGCCCCGCCTCCTTTGGCCATAAGGGTAGGCGTATCAAGCGCCATATGTTTGTAGCTTTGGAGGGGTTCTCTGGGTTGGTGAACTTCCAGATCCAGCAGCTAACAGCTGGGAGCCACTAAGAGGAGCATCAAATCCTGCCCGAAATTTAATCTTAAAGTTGTTCAGGCTGCTGGTAATGAATGCCGCCCTCCCTTATGTGACCAGGCTGACATATTTAACCGTATGTTGTCTTGGAAACAATGTGGGCTACACTGATAATTGGTTAGCTTCATGGGAGAACTAATCTAGAGAGACTGCGTCCACCCGCTGTGAACGGTGCAGCCAACATTCTGATCATCCTGGGTCCAGACCAGGAGGCGGAGTCGTACTTTAACACCTGTCTGCAGCGTCTCTAATGTTACCCATCAATTACCCAGTTCAGACAGTGTCCTGTAAGGCCTAATCAAATTCATTTTGAAATCATTTTAAGGGAGTGAATCATGATTTTCATAAAATGAATCCGACTCTGAATCCACTTCATTTACTTCATCACATCTCTGCTCCAAGACATTAGTAGTTAATGATGGGGAAGAGTTTCAGTCTGACTTTAGAGCTCATCATAGCACTGAAAAAGCTCTGGTGAAAGTCACTAATGATATTCTCATGGCCTCAGATAATGGACTTGTATCTGTGCTCGTCCTGTTGGATCTCAGTGCTGCATTTGATACAGTTGACCATAATATTCTTTTAGAAAGACTTGAATATTTTGTTGGAATTAAAGGAACAGCACTAGACTGGTTTAAATCTTATCTATCAGTCTTATTTCAATTTGTTTACATTAATGACAAATCTTCCTTACGCTCAAAGGTTACCTGTGGAGTACCACAGGGATCAGTGCTAGGACCAATTCTCTTTACTTTATAAATGCTCCCAATCGGTAGAATTATTAGACAGCATGGGATTAATTTCCACTGTTATGTTGATGATACTCAGCTATATCTGTCTATAATCCAGATGAAGCTAACCCATTACATAGATTACAGGCATGTCTGAAGACATAAAAACCTGGATGACTCTTAACTTTCTCCTTCTGAATGCAGACAAAACAGAAGTTATAGTCTTTGGACCAGAGTCTTTGAAAAAGAAGCTGATTAGTCAGTCACTTCATTTGGACGGGATTAAACTGATTTCAGATAATAAAGTAAAAAATCTTGGTGTTGTTTTTGATCAG